TAAATTATGTTGCTTTTTGCTTGGCTTTTGGATAAGACCACCCTGGCAACTTGTTCTTGTTTGGCTAAGAATTTTTTAATCCTTACTTTATGATAGAAATTATATGAGCTGTCTGCTCTCCCTTATCAACAATTTATCATTGCATTTCTTTGATATTATTACATGATTGCTTGCAATTTGCATATATTATCTTTGTAATTTAAAGAATGATTATTCTCTAATAATTTTGAAAAAGCTATTATTTAGCTAATGTATGAGTGCAAATAATAGCTTATGCATGATGCAATGTGTAATGTGCGTAACGAATGAGGGAATGTTACGTGCGGTATCAGAAGATGCGGATTGATGATATTATGATGGTATTATGATGAATGCTATCACTGAATCTGCTCATACCCTATCCACAAGTAATATTTTTTCGTAAAATACACGTGTGATGAAGATTCATGACGACTAATAGAGCCTCATGCGAGTTCAACCTCAACCCAACAATAAATAATCATTTTAGGATGATTTACATACATATTGCTCAATTCATTTCCTATGTAACTACATATCTTAACACTAAATTTCAATTTTTAGGTACATATCATTTTATGTGGGCATAGCATGATGTATTTATTTTCTTTTTTAAATTAAAATGGTCCTATTTTTGATGTGATATGGAAGAATTGGGTGTAATAGATATAAAAAATCAAAATACAAGTATTTTGATATGTAAATACATAAAAATGGGTGGTGTGTGTGTAAATGCCTCATAATTTTATTCCAAGGATAAAAAGGTTTGGAAAAAAAGGAGTTTTCAAAAATACCCTAAACAATATTTGTATTATATTTTTACCCTCTCAATTTTTTTTTCTTTGTATTTACTTACAAAATTAATTTGTTTTAATTCATATATATATATAATGTTATATGCCTCATGAATATTATGCAGGATTACATTAAAAGGCATCATTTAGTCATACAAATGCATTTTATTTATAGGGAATGTAATTCCCCTGTTGATTGGCTCGCTAAACAGGGTTTAAACAAGATTATGGTGGGCATTTTACCCCCACCTCAGTTACAGGTTCTTCTACAGGTTCTTCTAAATGGGGATTTATTGGATATGCCTTATATTAGGAGATAATATATCTTTGGTTTTGTTTGGATTTTTCAGTCCTAAACCTCTCTATTTCCTATGGTTTTCCTGTCTATCATGCTTATTGCTCTCGGTTCTAGGCCATCTCACCTGCAGGAACTTGATGAATTTTTAGCTCCTGGGTTTGGGACTTTTGCGCATATATGCTTTTTCATCTTTTTTTTTACAGCATTTGAATAGGGGACATCTTATTTCAACTTTTTGATGCTTAACATGTCGCTTATCTCGGTTTGGACTCTGACTACTTTTGAGGAGGATTTCTGTGGCTTTACAACTCACACGACTGTTTGTGCATTATGCTTTTTATGTCATTGTATTTTTGAGTTTGTTAAACATGTTATCGTTTTCTTTTTATCTTTGTGGTGTGGAGTTGTAATGAGAAAAAAGGAACCACTGGGACTTCATATATTTCTTTTGCTTTTAGTGGGGATCTTTTTTCACTCCCTCTTCTTGTAATCGCATTTTATATTAACACTTAGGGAGCCACTAGCTGCTCTTTTATTATATATATATATATATATATAAACACACACACACACACACACACACACATACATGCATACCACGCAATTGTTATGTATTTATATATTTAATACCTAAACTTTAATCTTTGCATATTTAACATTATAATGTCAGAATCACTTCAAAGTATACGCATACAACTGAGTTTCTATTCTACATATGTTAATATCAGTGATTTTTTTAATGTCAACTTTAAAAAATGAATGCAATATAAGTAAACATTCAAGTACTTGTGCATTAGATATGTGCATATATAAGAAGTGTGTGATATTTATGTAAATCACCTCATATAAAATTTAATATTTAGAAATATAAATAAATTAGCAGGAATGGAGAGCATACAATATCATTACCTCCCATCCACGACATTGAAAAATATTCTGGTTTTGGTCTCATTTTAGAAGATATAACTTATGTATCTTACTCCACATAAATCAACTTCAATACTTGGTCATATCGTTGAAAATTAAACTAGATTTTGGCACATATGTAATTAGGCTTTATTTTAACCCATAAGTTAGAATAGTCTAAGAAGAATTCTAGAGATTCATTCTAAAACAAAATTTTAGAGAATTGTAGAGGCATATATTAGAGCATCTAAGAAAATCTTGAATGTGTAATTAAGGACTTTTGTAATGGAAGATAAAAGAGTATTTTAGAGAATAAATAGTAGCCAAAGAGTGAAATGTGTTGGCACAAACCTAATGGGGTATCACTAGTATAAATAGGTGTGATGTGTTTGAGTTTAAAGCAAGAAGGAAATAGAGTGAAATATAATTATCTCTTGCAAACTGGTTAGTCTTTTTTCTTAGCATTTCTCACCCTGATAGCATTTTTTTTCCAACAAAGTGGTTTCAAAGTCATAAGATCCTTTTTAGAGAGAAGGCGAGTAGCGGTATGATTCCCTTTCAAGTCCCAATGTTTAACAAAAGCATCTACGACAATTGGAGCATCAAGATGAAGGTCCTCTATGGAGCATAAGGTGTATGGGAGATGATAGAGAAATGCTACAAGAAGCTAAGAGATGAGTCTAGTATATTCAAAACTCAAAAGGTTAGTTTAAAAGACTCGGAGAAGAGATACAAGAAGGCTTTCTATCAAAACTATCAAGAATTAAATGATAACCCTTTTTATCTCTTATGTGAAATCTACCAAGGAGACATTGTGGAAGCTTCAACTTTCTTATAAAGGAGTGAAGGAGTGAAGGAGCAAGTCAAAAAGGTGTGTCTCCAAACATTATGTGGCGAGTTTGAAGTCTTATATAAGAAAAAAACCGAAGTTGTCTCCTACGAGTATTAGCAGTTTCTAATCAAATAAAAAGAAATTGAGTACACTTTACTACTAGCATGCAAAGAGAATGAAAATTGTGAAAATAATATAAGCATTAAGTGCATGCAACGGTGCTATGAGCTTGTGCATGCATCATTTTGTTTTAAATTATCATAGAAAATGACAAGTATATTATGCTTATATATGTGTATGTTTATGATTAAATTTAAAAAATAAAATAAGTTTATGAGTATATATTTGCTCAATGTCTAGTAAAGAAAAATGTTTTTGAAACATTTTTAGCCACAACATTGATTGCTCTATGATAAAAATTTTCTTATAAAATTGAATCTAATATTTTCATATATATAATAGTTAATATCATCATAAATTTACCTTATTTTGTGTCATTTCTTTTATTATGATTTCTTTATTATTTTTTTATTTAAATAAATGTATTTATATTATGGCTAGCATTATCTAAAATAAGCATGATACGTTAAAAGTTTTAATTCTATGCAAATATATAATGTAGTTTTGCTCATAAATGACTCAAAATTTAAATTATGAAAGCTTACAAAGAGAATATCTTATCGGATAAAACACTACGAATGCTCCCTAAAGATTTCATGTTAACAAGGATTTAACTTGTACCCATTGTTAATATGATTTTGTAGGAAAAATGACACCACTAAGAAGGCATAACAATTATGACTAGAGTCAACTAACCAGATAATTTGCTGCAAAATTACACCATCAGATTATAGTCACAACTAAAATTCATATGTTACGCAATGACTTAGCTACACAAGTTGTGAATCATATGGTATATTTGATAGTATAACAAAACCCTCCATTAATTAAGTTTAAATTAAATTTATTTACTAGAAAAAACACCTATCTGAAGTATACATGACTTTCTTTTTTTTTTTTACAAAACAACTCATAGTGTTTGAGAATCACCCTTTTGTCAGGTTAAGAAGTAGACTAAAATTCTTGGCAATCCAGAATAACAGAGTCATGTGATCTTAATTGAGTTTACTAACTATATCTAACTAAGTAGACTAAAGTTCTTGGCAATACAGAATAACAGAGTCATGTGATCTTAATTGAGTTTATTATTATTCATCTATTATTTTCTCATAAATTAATGATAATTTTTTTTTTAATTTACAATTTAAAGTTTTGCTACTATACACTAAAACATTGATGAGCTAATGACTAGGCTTAACCAAAAGTGTTCTCGTTATTTTGAAAGATAATTAATCACAGAAACTTGTGCCCATGAGGAATCTCAAATATTAAACTAGATATATAAGTCCTCCCCACAAAATGAGCATGAAACATATCAATAGTGGCTTATCTTAAGTCTAATATGTCTTACAAAAAAATGACCCTAATTAACATGAATAAAATTTTTGGAGAGAGAGAGAGAGAGAGGGGTCAAGGAAAAATTTTTTGATGGCTGCTCAAATTTTAAAAAAAAAATTAGGACTTATTTATGCTTTCTAAAAAATAGTATTGAAATATTCTCATATAAAATGGTCAAGATAAGTCTTTGATCATTAGAATTTATATTGAAATGGGTAAACTACATAATTAATTATATTACAAACTTATATATATTTTTAGAAAATTTGAACTGTATAAAATACTTTTTGAAAACACAACTAAAATATATGAATGCTAGTGACAAGCTAACAAAGAGGACTTAACTTTCTATATAAAATTCTGAGCAAATAACTTTATAAATTTAAATAATAAGAAATTGTATAATTTTAAATTAGTATCTAATTAGTTTAAATCAAATCTATTTTTGTATTAATTTGAACAAATACAATTGAATATTAATTAGCCTGAGTTTTAGTTGTTCATCAAGTATATTGTTACATTAACATTCCATATAACATCAGCATATTGGATTTGATAAAATAATAGATTATCATAAGTTAAAATTCCAAATAATTTGACCATAACACTTGCAAATTAAATATGTCAAGATCGGTATCATATGGCCTTCATATTCAAACAAATTGTAAACTTCAAAAAATTTTTAAGGTATCAATCATGTGCAAAGAGTTTTGCTGAACTTGGCTGAAATTGGGAAAGCTGCAATTGGGAAAAACAGGACGGCAGTGGTAACTCCAACAGCTATGATTTGATGGGAAAAGGGCTTCTTCGACGAAACCTCATTAGGAGATGATGAACAGGGGCTTAAGTCATGAGCTCCTCCTTTAAGTGATTCTGAAACAGCATGGCTTCCATGGAAGCTGCTTCCTCTTCCGCTCAGAAACCTCTTCATTGATTCATTGTCTTTTTCATGCAGGTCAGTTTTTGAGGGGAGCTGCTGCAGAGCCCTCTGATGGCTTGATCCCAAGAAGGCATCAGTGAGTCCTGAAATTAAGGCAGCATTGAGGCAAGGTTGATTAAGATGCATAGCATTCAAATTTGTGTAAGAAATAGATGCTGAAGAAGGTTTGGGATTGGAGATGAAGGAACCATTTTCCCAGATTTTTGGTTTTCTTTGCAGATTTGTTTTGTGGTTGTTCTCTGCTGGCAAGTTTGCAACGAAGGACCTGCATGCTCATCACTTTTACTATCGCTTATCCTTAATCATGATATCTATGCCAATAATAGGATTTATGTTTTTAATATTGATTATAATAATAATAATCATAAATCAAACTTTTATTTTTTGGTAGTTCTAAATTTTATTAAAGGCATGCCATTCAATAACAAAAATTATCAGAGAAGGAAGATAAAAAATGAAGGAAGGCAATTTCATATGTTTTTAGAGTTAAATAAATGCCTACAACATCTTAAAAACAAACTAAAATGTGAAAATGGTAGAGTTAATACTGAAAAAAATAATTGGTGCAGAGATTGCACTGACTGGACAACGGCTGCGGCCACATTGCTGTGGATTACATGGCGGTCTATTTGGGCCGTTGTCGGGACGTGTAGCCTCCACACCTAATTTACCGAATTCTTCGTTAATACTTACCCCTCATTATCAAAAATGTCGACTTTGCAAATGCCTATTACTGTAGTTTCATC